TGTTAAATTCGAATATTTTCATAAATATGCCTAAATAAATTAATAAATTTCTTAACACTTTTAAAGATTTCTACGTAAAAGTTATAATTATGTATAACATATATGTTAGCACGAAAATGTGTAATTATTACATTCCATTTTTAAATTTAATTTAAAAAGATTACATCAATTTTTGCACAATAATTTTTGTACCAGTATTTTTTTTATAAAAAAAAACTCAAGCCCTTTTTATTTTAATTCCGGTAAATCGTTTTATAAATTACGAAACAGAAAGTTGTCATGATGTATGCGTAAGAATTCTCTGCTAGTGATGTACTCGTCTCGGTAATATATCGACCTTATCGATAGATTTTATACAACAAAAACATACTAATATCCATCCATCGAAACATTCGCATTTATAATATTAGTTAGATATAGTGGAACAAAGTTCCTTTAGTTTTTTTTATATAATAGAAGGGGGCAAACGAGCAGCGGGAACACAGAGGTGTTTAACGACACCCATGGACATCAGCAATACCAGAGGAACCGCAGATGCGTTGCCGGCCTTTGAGATGGTGATAGACTCGCTTCTTGAAGGACCCCAAGTCGTAGCGGTTTGGAAATACCGCCGAGGACAGACCATACCACAACGCTGATGTGCGAGGCAGAAAGTTACGCGCAAACCGCACGGTTGTGGATTGCCAGTCATCGAGATGATGTGGATGGAACCTTGCAGTCTGTCGAGCAAACAAGTTACCAAAGTATTATGTTTTTCAATTTTTTTATTCCATAAAATTATTAGTATTAAGACTTGATAGTATTTTGTGATACCGTAAGACTTAGGATTAGGGCTATTTATGATCTGCAAAGTTTTATAAAAAGTTACACATTTATTAAACATGCAAAAACAAAGTTTGTATTTTACAAATGTTACATAAAATTTTATCGACATAACTAGCTATTCCGCGACTCCGTCAGCGCGTAATTTAAAAAAAAAACTTAATAAGCAGCCTATGTGTTCGTCTAAACTATTTTCTGCAAATCGGCTGCTGCTATCAGCTCGCCCGGTGAAATACCACGACCACACAGAAGACAGGCGTGAAGTGGAAGCAATTCCGCGTTTCGTCCGATGAGTGTGCGTCCCGGAGGCCTAATTTAGTCCTCTTTCCCTTCCCGCCCTTTTTCTTATAAGGAAAGGATGGGAAGTGGAAGTGGACTTTCCGGATGAGAGGATGCATAGAAGGGGAAAATATTTTCTATCTGTGTACCCTCTCCTCCGTCGATTAAAGGTAGGCAACGCATATGCATTTGCGTATGTCTATGGGCAACGGTCATTTCGATATTTCAGCGACTTCAGGTGACCCCTCGCTCGTTTGCCACCTTATGATATAAAAAAAATCCGCGGGATCATTGCAGCCGTTCCGGAGATACCTTCAAACAAACATCCATCTAAACATTCGCATTTATAATATTAGTTAGTACTCGTAAGATAATAAGAATAATGTAACGTACATCCCTATGTAGTTACAGGTTTGAAGTAAAAGTGAAATACGATGAAAAAGGCTTCCTAATGGTATGTATTAATTACTAGCGTAATACAGCACGCACTTTACTTGCTTAGGGATGTGAAAATCTTTACTTAAGATATAATAAAATAATTAAGTTATACGGATTATTTGTAAGGGCAATAGATTCTAGTTTATTTCATTTAAATATCAAGTTGAGTTAAATCATTCAAAATTTCGTGAGAAATTATACTAAAATGATATATAAAAACGACTAAACACTCACGTATATTCGTCCGGTGGCGGCACACACTAGTTTCGAGCCCATCGGGGGCCCTACATGAGAGTGAGTGGGACTGGTATTATTTCGCGGACGCGGCCCGTCACTCACTGCGCGCCTGCGCTCCTCAGATCTGAAGGTCCTGAAGAAGGGCCCCCGATGGGCTCGAAACTAGTGTGTTCCGCTACAGGACGAATATACGTGAGTGTTTAGCCGTGTTTATATATCAGTTTATCAAGTTGAGTTCTTTTTAAATAAATCAGTGGAACTTGGATAAGCGAGTAACCTATTTAAGTTATTGTTAGGTTTTAACAGACGCTCTTCATAAGCGAGAAACTCGGACTAAAGAGAAAAGAAATTCGCTGTCTCTTAGACTCTGATTTATCCAGGTCTGACTCCATAGGACACATCGAGAAAGAAATTTCACTCATGCCTTTAAAAAAACTAGCTGTCACCCGCGTCTCCGTCCGCGTGTAATTAAAAAATCTTAATTTAGTAGCCTATGTGTTCTTCCAGACTATTTTCTACATCTTTGTCAAATTTCATCAAGATCTATGAGCCGTTCCAGAGATATCTTAAAACAATAATGTATATAATTTCGCATTTATATTAGCTAAATTTAAGATTTTATTTTTATTTTTAATAATAATAATTTGATAGTAAGTTTAAAACAACCCTGTAGTTAATAAAAAAAGTTAAGGAGCGGCTTGAAAAGAGAGTTGTTTGTACTAATCGATCTAAAAATCTCCGCAACATGACCACTTTCCTTTCTTCTCGGAAGTTTTTGCAGTTTATGGCAACACAGGAAATATTTGGCAATACAACTTGTTACTAAGAAACTAGACGCTTAAAAATTGAAGACTGTGATTTAAATCTTATATATAAAAGAAAGTCGTGTTAGTTACACTATTTATAACTAAACGGCTTTAACGATACGCCTGAAAATTGGTGAGGAGATAGCTTAGAACCAGGAGACGGACAATTCGAATTTATGCCTTAAAGAGCTGCTTTTTGTTTAACTTATCTATATGTTAAGTTTTTTACATATCCATGCGGACGGAGTCGCGGGCGACAGCTAGTTAGTAATATTTCTATCGTTTATTATTTGTGGATAAATTATTCAGTTTATATGATTTATTAATGACTTCTGGTCTCGTGGAATGGTCTGAGAATCGACCAACAAATATTTTTAATCCCGTACGGACGGAGTCGCGGGCGACAGCTACTTTTATATAAAGACAAATGTAACAAAGGTGTGTTATTTTGCAATGGAAGCTCACTCTTATATTCATGTTTCAAGCGTTGGCGACTATGAGAATGTAAGGAATTTTAATGGTTATATAAATTAATTAATAAATTGAAAAGCTTGTAGGATTGTTTGTAGGCGAACAATGGTAGGAACAAAGATGTTTGGGAGTTTGGGCATTAAATTAACATGTAGACAGAAGTGTTGTTTTAGGAATGTAGAATTAATTAAAATGTATGAAGAAATAAATAATATTATAAATGCGAATGTTTAGATGGATGGATGAATGTTTCTAGAAGGTATCTCCATAACGATCCCATGGATTTCTGTATGGAAGAACACATAGGTTACTAATTAGGTTTTTTTTTATTTCGCGCAAACGGAGTTGCTGGCAACAGCTAGTTTGTGATATCTAGCTGTCATCATCATTCATCGGCTTAAAATATAAACTCCATTTATCACACTTAAATTCGACAAAATGGCGAAGTGATATTCGCATTTGTAGATTGCCTACCTTTGATCGACAGAAAAGGTGTCGCATAGAAAGAAAATATTTCCCCTTACCAGGCGTCGTCACCCCCAAATGCTGCTTTCCAGAACCCGACGAATAAAATTTGTCATCAAAATCTACACTAAATGCTTCTCAAATTTTGTAGAATTAGTATGAGATCAACGCTAAGCAAATGTTTAACCATGATACATGATTTCCATAGTAAATGTGGCAGTAAAATTATTTTTTAGGGCAAACCATGTTTTGCCTATACTAAAAAAAATCTAGACTACAAAGTTATATTTCGTTTCTCAGAGACGAGAGATACGATTGTTACAAAGTGTAAACAAAACATAAAGTGTGTCACACTCTGAGATCGGGTTTATCAACCTTTTGCGTATTGTCTCGGTAAACATTTCTACATCAACATTTATATTCACTATTAGCTGTCGCGACTCTGTCTGCGCGGTATTAAAAAAACATAATTAGTAGTCTATGTGTTCTTACAGACTATGTTCTACATCTGTTATAAATTTCAGCGAGTTCCGTTCAACCGTTCTGGAGATACCTTCAAAAAAACTTTAGGTTCCTTCAAGAAGCGAGCTTATCACTATCTCAAAGGCCGGCAACGCATCTGCGGTTCCTCTGGTATTGCTGATGTCCATGGGCGTCGTTGAACACCTCGGTGTTCACGCTGTTTGTTTGCCCCCTTCTGTTATAAAAAAAACATCTTTTTTTTCTGTGCATCCTCTCCTCCGTCGATTAAAGGTAGGCAACGTATATGCAATTGCGTATATCTATGGACAACGGTCATTTCGCTATTTAAGCGATTTCAGGTAGCCGCTCGTTTGCCACCTTATGATAAAAAAAAACATCCATCTAAACATTCGCATTTATAATATTAGTAAGATTAACCTAAGAATATGTATGAGTATATAATATTGATTAAAATATCGTTGATTTTAATATATGTAAAAATTTCCACTAAACAGGGCCTAGAATTAATATTTGTTACAGGTGCCTTTGTAGTCTTTGACAAGATCTGTCAATATTTTTAAAAGATTAATTGGTGCTTTTTTCGCCCGGTAGGGGCGCTGAACAAATAACCTTACTTTAGGAAATTGGTTAGCCGGATACAGGATGTTTAAAATAAATATAGTTATCGTAGAATAAAAATCTGCGAAACAGTTGGATCGATTTTAACGGATCTTTTTTTGGTTAAGTGCTTAATTTTTTTTTAAATAATACCGCTTTTAAGTAACTTGTATGTGCCAGTAATATATAAATTCCAAGTTTATTTACGTTACACATAAGTATTTGTTCTGGTACATCTGTCGAAGACAATTATAAATAGAATAACTGCTCAATATGTGAAATTCCAATGTCCAAATCAGGCTAGTCTGATTCTATGCAATTGGTTTTCATTGTGGTGTGTTGTTCAATGGAAATTCGTACTTAAAATCAAAAAGTTTGGAATAGCGCGTATTTTTAACTTACTCGTATAAATGGGTTCTTCTTTGGTAGATCATGATCCACTTCATCCCTGGACTCCTCCTCCTCTGCAGAGTTGACCCTCACGCAAGTCTTATGTATCTGCTCATCCATATTCCCAACACATTATACCACACACTGATATGCCACTTTCAATCTTATTTCCAAGACGATAAAACTCACATTCACTTATATCGAACACTGATTTTTTTAATTATAAATGGTTTTTGAATTGGACGATTAAAACCTCTTTTGTATTTCTACTTTTAGAACACACTTGAATTTACATTAATTTCTTTTTAAATTTCGAATGCGTTTATTTAAAATCTATTTTTAAAAGAGAACAATTAAAACCTCCTTTTGAATTTCGAATTCGTTTCGTTTTTAATATCACTTTATCGCGTGCCAGTTGTTTTCACGAACACTGCATCTGAAAGAAAAAAATGAAACATTAATGAAATAATGACAAATAGAACAATGAGTAATTTTAACAAATAATGATATCATTATAGTAAAGTGGATGTTTGTTCTTTGATAAAATGTATGATTAACAGTTTGGAGTGAGGAAGATACGTTAATTAAAGATTAAACTATAGAAAGGTGACCTAAATAATATAATCCACTTATTAGTGGGATATTTCCAGGCCTGTGTGTCTAGTTTTTTTTAATATTATGTCACTGTAATTATTAAAAAAGACAAATAACTATTAACCTACTAAAATCGCGTTGTTGAAAAATTATTGTATCAAATCGATAGATGGCGCTTTTCTTAATTTATTTCACGCGACAAAATTAATACGTTTTAATTGAAAAATATTTTACTTAGTTAGAATAGAATGCTAAGAATTTCCTTAAACACTTTCTTAACATACATTATGTAGATTAAAAAAAAGAAACGTATGAATGAAATGTACTTACAAACTTCACGGTATAATTGCTTGGCTAATACATAATCCCCTCGCCTTGAACCAGCGCGTACCGACCTCGTATATGTACCAATCAGAGCGTATAAGTTACCGTCACTTTGTGGAATCTGACATTGTTGTAATTGACCAATTTTTATAATGCACACTACGTTAATTTTGTTGGGAATCTTATTAATAATATAAAAGAGAAGGGCTGTTATCTTCCTGAAATTTGGCATAGGTGTAACAAAGAGTATGGAAGAACACATAGACTACTTACTATTTTTTTAGTTCCACACGGACGGAGTCGCGGACGACAGCTATGTATGTTAAATAAAGTACTAGATTCTTATCATAACAATATTAAGGTAATATTCTAGACATATTCTTTCGTACTGTATCATAGTAATAAAGACATATAGGCTTTTAGTCTTTTAATGAGAGTCTAGACTACTTTTTACTAACGTATTGAGTTCACTTTCCTTGTAAAAGTTTCTAGTTTGACGGTAACATGAATATCTATCACGGTCTAGTCATAAACTGTGACGAAAGACCGATGCGTTGTCTTGAATATTATTCCGTTATATGTCGGTATATTAATCTTTCTTACTAATATTATAAATGCAAATGTTTAGATCAGTCTTTCCCAAAGTGGGCGATAACGCTCCCCTTGTGGGCGCTGCAGGTTTCAAGTTGCGGGTTATAGTAAAAGTTTCGTTTAGAATTCTCCGTTAATATACATATATAGGTCACAATAATTAATTTAATTTGAAGTTATAGTGGTTTTTAAATATGTGAAAATATGGTGGAGCTAAAAAAATATTTATTCTCAAAGTGGGAAGTAGACAAACTAAGTTTGGGAACCACTGGTTTAGACGAATGGTTGTTTGTTAGAAGTGTTCAACGAATCTTGATGAAATTTGGCATAGATGTAGAACAGCTTGAAAGAACACATATGCTACAACTTAAGTCTGTTTTTAATTCCCTAAATACGTAATCGCGGGCGACAGTTAGTTTTATAATACATATATTACGTGCTCAAAGTCCGCGTTATCGCCCCAGCAAAATGCGTTGCGCAACTGCATTGTTAGCGTATCGGTTAACTCAGGTGTTTGTGTGTGTCGTATCAAACAACATAACACGGATGATTAAAAACAAATAAAATATACTTGTAATTTATGTAGTACACCTCGCTCGTAACTCCTCTCTGTCATGTCACTAGAATCTTGTCGTTTCAACTGAACTCCTAAATTATGTAAGCTAACATCATTCAACACATAGCAGACGCATCGTTATTTTTACTTATATTTTTTTATAATTATGATATAAGTTTAAAATATTATACTATCTGTTGCACGCGTTCTTCGTCCGCGCGGAATTAAAAAAAATAGTAGTCTATGTTTTTTTTTATATCATAAGGTGACAAACGAACGAGCGGCCACCTGATATCGCTGAAATAGCGAAGTGACCGTTGCCCATAGACATACGCATTTGTATATGCGTTGCCTAACTTTAATCGACGGAGAAGAGGATGCACAGAAAAAAAATATTTTCCCTTTCCATGCATCCTCTCATCCGGAAAGTCCACTTCGACTTCCCATCCTTTCCTTATAAGAAAAATGGTTGGAAGGGAAAGAGGACTAAAATAGGCCTCCGCGACGCACACTCATCAGACGAAACGCGGAATTGCTTCCACTTGACGCGTGTCTTCTGTGTGGTCGTGGTATTTCACCGGGCGAGCCGGGCCGATTCGTGCGAAGATGTTAAAGCGGGCTCTACCACTGTTAACTTCCTTCCAGACTATGTTTTACATCTGTGTCATATCATTAAGATCTGTTGAACTCTTCTAACAAACATCTATCCTTATATTCGCATTTACAAGGATTAAAAAGTAAAAAAAATATTATTTATAATTGTAACTTTACATGAGATTTCGTTCGTGTGGAATTAAAAAAAAATGAGTTGATAGTCAATGTGTTGTTCCTGACTCTTTATTTCAAATATCAAGATTCGTTCAGACTTTCTTGGATAACAAAGATCCATACATCCATCTAAACATTCGCATTTATAATATTAGTAAGATATAGGTGGGTAAATTAGTTAATGAATCATTGCTGGTTCAAGCGAAAAGTTTTTAATGATTTAAAATTATAATAAAAAGATTTATATCACGTGACTCACTTTTGAATTATAAACATGACTAACGTATTAAGGGGCTTTTCGCGTGACTAACTTCCCCGTCAAACCCTTAGCTAGGAATTTAATTGCCTATTTGATATGGGGTTCTCTTGTTATTAACCTGCGAACAAGCTTATCCAACATTGGTATAGTATTATATTTTGATATTATAAGGTGGGAAAGAAACAAGTGGCCAGTTTAATTCGCCGAAATAGCGAAGCAACCGCTGCCTATAGACATTCACAATTGCAGATGCGTTGCCCTTTTATTAAAGAAAGAGGGGATTCACAGAAAGAGGATATTTCTCCGTCTTATGTGTCTTTTCTGTCGTTCTTTTTCCGAGAAAAGGATGGTAAGAGAACGAGCATTAACATCTGGCCTCCGCCACGCACACTTATCGGCTAAAACCTGGGATTGTTTTGACTTGGTCTGTCTTCTGTCTGCTCGTGGTATTGCAATGGTCGAACTGACCCATTCTTATAAGAGATGTTGTTGCTACCGCTTACCAACTTACTTATTATTATCCTAGCTATCGCCCGCGACTCCGTCCCCTCGGAATTAAAAAAATAGTAGCCTATGTATCCTTCAAGGCTTTATTCTACATCTGTGCCTAATTTCAGCGAGATCTATACGACCTTTCTGAAGATACCTTCAAACATCCATCCATCCATATAAACATTCGCATTTATAATATTGGTAAGATAGTAAGAAGTAAGATATATTCATCTCTTTTATCTCTTGAAATAGTTGAGATAGCAACATGTTTCTATTCGTGTTTCGCCAGTGAAAACACGACATAACTATCATTATAATTATACAAGTCATAATGCGTGAAGACAATTTAGTTCCGTCCATATTTAACGTCGCCAAGGTTTGTGTCCAATGTTTGAACAAAGGTTGGCTTATTGGCTCATTTCATGGTCACACCAGATAAATACGTTGACAAACTATGTAAGTTTTCCATTGAATTTTCCTTGCCCTAGAATTGCTATTTCTTATTCTGTTTAAAACAACAGAGAATGTACGTATTGCCCTATAAATATAGCTACGACACTGTTCAGTTAAACACATGTTTTAACATGTGTTTAACCCGGAGGTCTAATTAAGTCCTCTTTTCCTTCCCACCCTTTTTCTTATGAGGAAGGGTTGGGAAATGGAAGTGGACTTTCCGGATAAGAGGATGCATGGAACGGGAAGATATTTTCTTTCTGTTCATCCCCTCCTCCGTCGATTAAAGGTAGGCAACGCATATGTAATTGCGTATTTCTATGGGCAACGGTCACTTCGCTATTTCAGCGATTTCAGGTGGCTGCTCGCTCGTTTGCCACCTTAAAAAAAAAAAAATTTTGAACGCCGGTGAAGCATATTATGGATGACAAAGTGGTTATATGTTTTATTAGAGTAGATTAATATTGTATTATATTACAACACTAGTTTTGGTAAAACTATTTAATTATTTATTGGCTTCACGTGGTTGAAAAAGAAGAAGAAATAAAGGGAAGAGGATTCGATATCGTCTAGCAAATACTCATCAGACGAAACGCGGAAATACTTTTACTTGATGCCTGTATTCTGTATGTTATTTCAGAGAATGTACAAGCTATCGCCCGCGACTCTGTTCGCGCGTTATTATTATAAAAAAATATAATAAATAGCCTATGTGTTCTTCCAAAATATGTTTTACATGTATGCCAAATTATAGCGAGATCCATACAGCCGTTCTGGATACCTTTAAACAAACATCCATCCATCCATCCAATCATTCGCATTTATAATATTAGTAAGAAGTAAGATAGTAAGTTGTAAATACAACATATTTTATTTATGTATGTATTTAGGTAGGTTCTTTAATTGTATTAACTTCATCCTGTTAACAGCTTATTGGGTAGTCACAGTTAAGGCTCAAAGAACAAATAATTATCATGAAGCTAATTGGCTTACAACTAAGTTATGTTTAGCTACATATCTTTCTAAAGCCTATTGAACGACAGGTGGGCAATTTACCCAACTGACTAAAAAAAATTATTAACGCATGTTTTTTTTGCGTTTGTAAGTCTGTTTACTGTGACCTTCAGTAGCTTAATTCAACTGATTCTGATGAGTCGGATGTCATATTCTTCTCGACGCTGTCATAAGGGTAAAGTACGATAATTTTTATTAATTATTCTAAGGTTCCGTTCAGACTGAGCGGAGAGCAGAGCAAATTTTTATCGCAAAATAAAATTGGTTTAATTTTATTGTTCACGTTTTATCTTCGCTCAGTCTGTACGGATCCTAATGCTGTTATTCTTTCTATAGAAAACGAGAAGGTTAAACTTTAGTCGTACTATGATTACCAGCATTACAG